ATTGCTTTGCTGAAGTCCAACACTATAAAAACTTTTATGTGCCTAATCTGAAAGTGAGAGATTTTGCTCCGTTGTTCATTTTGAGCAGTACCCTATTTTGCAAGCATCAGTGTTGAAATTAGCCTGAGGAAGGCTGGGCCCGTGTTTTTTGTGTTGTGCTGGAAGCAATTCCCTTCATGGTAGCTGCTCTACCTTTTATTTTGTTTTTTTTACCAAAAATTGATTTTCCTTTCCCATGTGTCATATAAAAAGAGAAACAGAGAAAGTTGTTGTGTAGCAATATAAAAGTGTGCAGTACCGTGTCAGACTAAAGTTCCTTTTGGTCACTCTCCTTGTAGCGTCCAGTACAGGTGCCAGGCAGAGAACACAAAAACGCAGTAAGCGTTAGGCTTCCCTGGGTGTTCTCTCCCAGTCGCCAATGATTTGTAACAAAAGCAGTTTCTGAGCCAGAGGTGGTATCTTACATACAAATGTTTCAGAAGCAATCAAAAAGGTTGACAAATAATTAGGTTTATTGATCTATTGCTGTTATTTTAAGGTGTATATATAAATGATCTATGCTCAGGAGAATGCACTGAAAGACTGTAACGTATACTAGGTTGTCAGTTCCTGTCAATGGGCTATGTTTATTTCCAACTTTTAAGTTTTATGTTTCAGAGGAAGACATAAAAAGCCCACAAAAGGAATTGCTGTTGCAGTCTGCCCCAGTGGTGATCTCTTTTTTTGAATTCCTAACACCTGCCAGCCTGAGTGTGTGGGCCTTTTCTTCCCTCTCCTTGCCCATACCCTCCAAAGAGTGCAAAACTTTCGAAGAAGCTTTTTCTTCTGACTTCACGGTGATCTACTCTTGCTGTTGGTGGTCTACTGATGCCAGAAGACACTGGTAAGACACCAGTGATGCTGGTATACACCAAGCCTGTCCAGCTGCACAAATTACCGTGGTGCCAGGTGGAGGTAGGACATGGACTGGTGATCGTCTTGCCTGTGAAAATATTAAGCATGAAAATTATTCAGGAGTAGGGAGTTCAGTCAAACTTTCAGTTGAGTGTTAATTCCTTCTGCTCCGTGGCTGACGTTTTCTCTAAGGAATTTTTGAATTCTCAGCTTTAAAGGTATTCAAAGGTATTCACCACGTTGTGCAACACAGATGGATAGGGTGGGTTTTGGAAGCTTTTACAACATCCTGCCATCAAAAGATTCCCATGCAGTAAGGAGTTTTACGATCTCCAAGAAACGTCTCTCAAACCTTTCCTTGTTTCTGTCTTTAGTTTTGAGAAAAGTAGCCCTACTACAAGGTTTACAGGGGCTCTTTTCTGCCCAGAGTCAAATCCGCAGTGGGGGACGAGGGAAGGAAGGAGCTGTTTCAGACCGTTGTCTCTAGTCGGCTGGTTCAGTGAAATGGCAGCTGGCGAGTCTGTCTGCGTCCACTGCAGAAAGAAATGCCGCTGCATGAGCTGCTTGCTTCCCGGCGGGGAAAAAGGAAAAACAAAACTGAATCAGGCAAAGAATTTGGCTTGTTTGCCGGGAAAAAATCCCAAGCACAAGCAATTAAGCTCAAATATAACTCTTCCCAGGCTTTACTGTTTTGCAGAATCATTTTTCATCTACTGAGTATTACTGTTGCAGCATCAGAGATTTACCATTTACAAATTGTCATTATGTAATCTTGTGCAGCTCTTGTTGATAACAGTCATTTGAAGTGTCAGCGCAACCTAAGAAATCAGATGGGCCGTGAACTGTTTGGTTTGAAAGCTGTCAGCGATGTACAGCATATTTTTTGATTATGTAGTTGCTTCGTAGAAGTTTAAAAACAACACAAGATAATGCTGTATGTTCATTCATTCAATATTGCAGATTGTTCTCAGAGATACTTTCTTGTTTACGTTATATAAAATGAGCTTTACAGGGTGAACGAGTCACTCGCTTTTACTGGTGAAAATTTAGCATCCAGTATAGAATGTTGATCCAGTATAGACTGTAGATTTGGGCTAGATTTTTCCAAATTGCTGAACGTGTTTGAGTCACAGGATTTTTCGGAAATTTGCCTTTAACGGTCACAATGGGAGCTGCTGAGCGCTGAGCACTTTGCAAGCCAGGCCCTTTTTGCAGTTGTTCGGAATTAAAAATTAGCTGGTTCAAAAATCTGTTTTACCACATGGCATGTATTTCCTTTATTGTGGATAAAATCTCTGTGAAGCAAGGCTGTAATTGATTAAAACTATTTTTCCTGTTAATTAAATGTGACACTTTTGGTGTGCTCCTCCATCACTCTCTCAATTATTTTAGGAGCAGCAGGAGATTATTTTCAAGAATCATTTCTTGGCAATATGGCTCTCAGTGTTTGTTTCTCTTGGTTTTATGCTGATGCTTTCATGGTGCATCGCTAGAGGTACAAAGGCTAACTGTGGGCAAGATAGATCCTTTGGACATAGATTATATCATTTTAAGAAACAGCACCTTAGAAGATAAAATAGTGCTCATCGTCCCATTTGCCTTGAGCAAAGGACTTTGCTTTGGTGTTTGGTATACAATTTGAGTCTACTCAATTTTCTTGCTATAATTAGGAAGGACCGACTTTTCTTTTTTTTCTTGAAGAATGCTCTAAATGAAAAAAAACTTTGCAAACTCATTCACAGAATCCCTGTGAAAACGGGTTGCAGAATCGGGTGCTGCTTTAACCACGCAGACACTAGGCGAGTGGCTCGTAGGATTTTTTGTTACAGGCCGTTCCTTATCATGGTGCTTCCAGCGTGTGCCGTGGCTCTGCGGCAGAGCTATGCCCCTCCAACGTAAGCCGTGTAGCACGGTTGTCCTTCCTCTGGTGCAGCAGAAACTAGTGGAAGTCCTTTCTTACTCTGCAGTTTTCTTTGCTTGCAAACTCTGTCTCTGGTTGTTATTAGTTGCAGCAGTTCCTGTCCATGAGCTGAAGTGTTTTCTGACCTTGATTACGGAGTGAATGGCAAGGACTGACCCCTAGCACTTTAACTTTCCTGTACTCTGCTACGTCCTCAGAGGAGAAGTCCAGCTGGCTGTAGCTAGGTATTTTACTATTAGAAAACAAAACAAAAAATATCTTAGGGAGAGGATAAGTACAGCAAAAGAGGGAGTTCAGTGGCTGGGGTAATTCCCTTTGACTTAGCCTATCCAAATTTAATTTTCTTTTTCACACATTTCCTGTATAACCTTCTGCAACTGCTATAATCATTGTGGCACATGAGCTCAAAAATGTGATGGAGGATTGAGTCACCAGCTAGCCAGAGCTCCCAGACCTGGTCTCCTTTTACTAGCAGTGGAAAGAAGTAATTGGGATACAGTAATTGGGTGAGCGAAATCACCTACTGCAGGGTCACTGGTTGCCCTTTTAGAAGAAAATGCCTATATGTTTTTGCAACTTGGCTAGACCCTTAAGGTAAATGTGCTCAGTATGACTTTCAGTCTTTCTGTGATCCTAAGCCCTTCGTTTCTAAAACTGGGTGGAAGATACTTCCCTTCCTCTCAAGGATGTTATCAGGAAAATGGCATTTAAGAGACTAAGAGTGAGTCAGACAACGAGGGCCATGTAAGTATAAACTGCTGCTCTTTTGACGAGAAGCAGGAAAGATAAATAGGCATTTAATGCATCTGTGAGTAATTTCTTACTTGCTGTCGAATAAGGACCATGGAGGCTAAGTTATAAACAGAAAATGAACATGTTAATGTTATTTCCAAAAAGGACAGGCAAAGAGAAATATTTCCAAATTTCTGAGACTAGCAGAAATGCTGCAGAGGAAAAATATCATGAAAATTACTTGACAGAGCACTGCTAACTACAACAGACTTAAATAACAAATGGGGATATCATAACAAAATCAGTCCTCAAGAACATAGGAGATAGAAATGGAAAAGATATATTGGGTCATATTCTGCCTCTCCGGCTAGAGCGCAGTTGTTCACTGCAGTAGATTTTCACGTCCTTTACTCCGTCTAGCCTGACGTTGTTCAAGCAAGGGAGCCTCCTCTCCTTCTCTTGGGAGGCTCTGCCACAGACCGACGGATCTCACTGACAGGGGACGTTTCCAGACGTTTAACCTAAATTATGCTCATTTTCCAACCATTAGGGCTGAAGTTCCCTCCTTGCTGGTTACACTTTTCGAAAGGACGCTGCCATCGTGGTTCTTTCAATATTGTTGGCTCATTAGACAAAGAAAAGGCAAGTGTGTGGGACTGGAGAGAAGATGACGGGGCAACATCCTGCTGTTACAACCAACTCGCATGTATCCACGCTTGCCCCTGGCTAGCAGAGTACCTCTGCGGCAGGATGAGTTAGCTGGAGCGCTGAGTGTGACCCTACTGCTTCCAAAACCGAGGACTTCAGGTGCCTCTGCCTGGCCCCGCTTTGCAAAGTGCACACTCACCCAAAACGGGGTGGGCTGACGCAAAGCGTGACAAGGTGAACGAGGGACACAGCTGCTGCTGGCCTCATTTGTGAGGAGGGTCTTGTAAGAGAAACAAAATACAAAAGAGAGGTATGGAGAAGAGGAGCTTTGTGCAGCCTGGTTTTATTTAGGAAGGTCTAGGTTATGCTACTCAGTCCCTCATTTCTCCCGCTGCTCTGGAGAGTACCCTCATGCAGGTTTTCTCCAGGCTTTCTGTGGGCCTTTAAGATAAGTCATTTAAAAATTCCAGCCGTGATTACTGTCTAGTACGTGCCCTTCTTAACCGTTATCACATCAGAAGACTGAGGCAATTCAATGTCAAAAGCAAACCAGTTTCAATGTCTTGGCATTTGTTAGTTAGTTTAATTGCATCTGAACATGGTTTCTTGTTGTTTTCAGCTTGGCTGTCTTGTGCCAAAAGCATGTGAATGGCAGTCAGCAGCATGCTTACGAAGTGCGACATGTTTTCCTTTCCGTAAAACCTTCCCCGGAAGGTGCCCATTTTTCCCGTAGCCCCTTTCACAGTCCTTAAATGGCAGGGAGCCCCTTAGCCGCTCGGCGTCACACGGTTTTCCTGTGCCGCAGAGTCTTGCTGCCAGATGAGGACACTGGACAGCGGGATCGGCACCTTCCCCCTCCCCGACGCGGGAGCCCGGGCGGCCGGGCGGCACGTTTCCAAGCACGACGTCCTTGCGCTGCCGGAGCAAGTTCCTCTTTCAGCTCCTTCGGTAAAAGCCAAAACCCTTGAGCGAGAAGTGCCTTCAGCCGCCAAGAGCCAGGAAGCTGCCGAAAGCGTAATTAGTCACTCCACATCGGACCCAGCCATGACCGCCAAGGGTGTACGACCGTTTCAAAGTCGCCTTCCAAAACCAGCTTCCTCAGGTAAAATGCTAATTACACTGAAATGCAGATTATTGCTGTCCTGACATCTGTTCTGATTAGCAGTCTTGTAATAACGACAATTGATAACAGGAGTGTTAAATGCAGAGCAGAAAATATTCTTGATATGAAAGCATAAGGTTAACAAGTTTGTGACCTGAGCCATATGGAAATTTTGTTACGCATAATGCTTATCTGTAACTGAGGAAGAAAAATGTGTTAAGTACTTAAGTCCTTTTGTCAAGAAACAGTACTTGAAGAAAACCCATGCAAGCCTTGGAATTTGGCTTGAATAAGAATGCAGATGTTCAGCAATATTCAGGATCAGACTTTGCCGCAAAGTACAAAGCATAGCTGTGTTGTGACCTTAAAAAAAGGCACATTCCTGAGGACCTGCTTTTGAAATTAAACTCAGACTATGCACTCATTTGGTCTCAACGCATAAATTCTACCCCACTGAATATATGGCCTTGACCTCAAAGAAGGCTCTTGCTGCTTTACTACATTATGCAAACTATTTATGTATACAAATGTAAAACAACTTATTGTCATTTATCAGCAGAGTGTGCATTTACTATAAACTATAAAACAAAAGCTGACAAAGGAGTAAAAGGACTAATCCAGCAAAAGACCAGCCAATAACTTTACAGTGGTAAATAGTTCCACTGAACTCTGTGCAATTTGTTATAAATGCACACTGTGCACTTGCATGGATTTTTTAAGGCTTTAGAGACCCTCATATGTACGTCAATAACAACAGAAATCATCACATATGGCGTTTATCTTTGTAACACACTATTTTTCGTTTCCAAATGGTAAATATGGTCCAAACCTCAGTAAAAGTAATTGACTTACTTAATAGGGAAAAGTACTTTTTACTTTACCATATAAAGTAAACTTTACCATTGGTGTTATATTAATGCAACAGCTGCTATCAAGGTTGCTGATACCAGGTTATGAGTAGCTGAATAAATACAGGCACATAATCTCTACCCCCACACAGCTTATATTCCAAAAGGAGAAGCAACTGTGAAGAAAGCCTCCTCTCAACGGTGCTTTCTGGCAGGATTTAGCTTTAAGGTAAAAGTTGTTAGCCCTTTGTCAACATAAGCATTTGTTGCTTCTGTAAAACTGGAGAGTATTTAACTTGCATAAATCCCTATCACTTGAGCTCAAAGGGAGAGTCCATGTAATTAACATGTGAGGTTAAATATCAAGCTTAAGCTTAGTTTAAGGCATCAAATATGTGTTCTGCTAATAAGCTGATGTGTAAATTGAGCCTGGGAGGGAAGAAACCTATTTTATACATTCATAAGATGCGTTGGGAGAAGAATCCTAATTAAACATCTTAGAACTTAGTTGATTTAGCAAAATTCCCAGTGCAGTATTGTAACGGTATAATGGACTGCAAACATACATTGTATGCTTCACTGAGACTCCTTGCGCAGTTCAAATCAAAGCTAAATAAAAGATATTTTAGTACTTACAATTTTTTAAAATAAATGTACTGTTAATTAATGGTACAGCTAAGAAGGATTCAGAAGAGAAATCTTGCTTATAGATTATATGCTGTATGCTTGAATAGCCACATGTGTGACCTCAATTCAGCAGTGCGCTATAGAGTAGACTCCGTGATTAAACACTGTCATTATAACAAATTGAATAGAAACTGCAAGCATTGAATTGCTTCATAAGAAGTCAGTAGCAGTAAGATTGTTCTGATCTTAATGCTAATATTCACTGCACCAACCTTGTAAGGTTTGTATCTTAATTAAATTGTCATGAAGAGATGTTAAAAAAAAGCTGTGTACATCAGATCGTGGGGTCAACTCATTCTTTACTAGAATATTTTCATTTGATTTTCATTTCTTCGCCTCTCCCTCACTTTTTCATCCAAATTACAATTATCATTTTATTTCACAGGCACCATACATCTTCTTTGATGTTTTGATTTTGCGTAGTGCAAATATAGCAAGTAGAAAGACTAGCTGATTGAGAATTTCTGCTGGAAAGGTGCTTCTAATTATATTTATATTTAACAGAGTGTTCTCTCTCTGAGAGTATAAAATCGCTGAGCAGATTCTGCAATGCCTAGAAATAGTAATTGAGTGTTGTTCATTTGAAAGCAGATATTTTTAAAAACTAATAGAGGGATTTAAAACCATGCCTTCCTCTTCACTTGTTAAATGGAAAGGACTTTGGATCAATTCTGCCACTTAAGTTGCTGGAATTACCCTAATAAGCAAGTAGTTCCTTTGAGCAATCAGATATTTTTTGACATAATAAAAGTATCACAACATGCCCCCAGTTTTTACTGAATTATGATTGAAATACTGTCACTGAGATGCTGATGAGACCCACAATTTAAATATCTCTCTCAATTCAGGAATCGTTAACTTTGGAAAGCAAAATGGACAAGGACCAAGTTCTGACACCGCTGCCTCTTTCGAGCATTATGAAGAAACTGTAGAAACTAGAAAGGTACTTCCAGATTGGACTTGCAAGAAAACTACTAAAGCAAAGGTATGAATTAAGGGGTGTAATCTATTAAAGGAGATATGTATTGTAGTGTAAAGAATCAGAAATGGTGAATGTTTCTAATACAGTGAAAAGAATAATTAACAATCTAATAACTACATTTGCTTTATCACCTTTCATTAGCAATCTCATTATTTATTAATAATAATACAGTACCCAAAGTTCCTTTGTCCTCATGCTTTACAAACACGTTTTAATTAATATTCTCATAGGCGTTTTATAGGCAGGGAAATGGAGGAACTTCAGTCAGTTTTTTTCTTTAGGAAACTTGATTTTGTTTGTCTGCTTGCCATTAGAGACTGAGATCTGTTTTTTTCCCCAGGTCTAGGTTTCCTTGTCTGCACGGTTGCGTGGTAGGAGTGTTTGAGCAGATGTGCTATGAAGTAGTGTGAAAGGGAAGATATTCTTGCATTTTTCGGGGTGTTTTTGGTTGATCTGTCCTTCAGTCTTTTCCTGAAAAATGCAGAAAGAACCAATAGGCAAATGCATATACCTGTGTAAAAGCTACCGCTGGTAGTTGTCAAGCTATTAATAGCCAGGAGTGCCAGGCTGTCAAGCCCTGTGAGAAGTACGGGGTCAGCAGGTTCTCAAATAGAAAGAAAAACCTTCTCAGGAAAGTGGGCATTAAGGCAAGGAAACTGTCAGACTGCAAGCTAATACGCCTGACATTACAAGAGGCCAAAAACCTTAAGTTGCTTAACTTTTTTGCATGTCTGCTTTATTCATGTATTTATTGACTTGGGGCATGTCACTTTTTTATATCGCCCACGTTCTGGAAGCTTCGGACAGAAATAGAGAGAGAAAATGATTTGTCCTGTATGATTTGTCCTTGGCAAACGGGCTGCACATCCTCAGTAGAGTGCAGTAGTGTCAACTTCTGAGTCACGATGATGGTCTTCACCTTGAGGCAGTCATGACTGACTGACCACCTGCAGTCCCAAAGCCACGTTAACTAGTCTGCCTAAGAGTTAGGAGTAGAGTGAGGGCGTAGTTGGCGTGTGAATGTCTGTATGGCACAAGTGTCTGCTCCCTATCAAATGGTAGTTGCTGCTTTCCATCACTTAAGAACTGAGGCAAGCATGGGAAGGTGCAGAAATTAAAAGTACTCTTTTAAAAATAGAATTAAGCACTGTTCTGAGCTATTGATAGTCAATTTGCGTTAGATATTAGGTGGCTTTTGTACCTGTAGGTCCCACTTATTGAGCAGTATCGTTCTTAGCTTCCTCATCCCCATTTTCTGGGTTTTATTCTACTGAGTTGCTGCTCCGGAGATGTTCAGATCCTTCCCTGGTTGGAACCTGTCAGGACCAGCCATCCTCTTTGCTCTGAGAACAAAATCCTTAGTGTTACCTCCTGAAGAAAAATGGGATGAGGAATCAGCTGGGCATTGAGGGCTTTCCATTCCTGTAATGTAAATGCCAGGACAAAGGGCATGAATTTAGGATGAATTTAGGATTTAGTGCTCATTGGTATAGAAAGCATGAGTCCTGTCTGCTGACCATCCTCACCAGTTGCCTGTAGCATTGCTGGCGTTGCGTCAAACCGTTGTGTGTTGTGTGATGATCTTGCAGCTCGCAAACACACTGCATTACTAATACTTGAGAGGTTTTAAATTTGAACTTGGTGGATGAAAGGATCTGAAAAAGTAGGTAGATCTAAAAGCTCTGCTAACAGTGAAAAAAGGTGGTAAAAGCTGGACTGTGTCTGCCAGAGTAACTCAGAGGATTTACCAGGACGAGAACGTGCTTATTTCCCCCATGTCAGACTGATGATTATTTACTGAAGGATAAGTGATTAGTTAAACTGGTAAACGTAGACTTTCCTCCAGTCTGTTTACACTACGTGATGAATATAAAATGTTCTACTCCTAATATCATGGTCTGCGCTATTTTGATATATATGCATCGTCTGAATGACTGCAATACCGTTATTTGTACAGGACAGAGCGCTGAGAGTATGTACTTACTCTGCCAGCAGCAGTGACACTGTGACGGAGCCAGACTATGAAACAAATTATTTTAGAGCTGCAGGAGAGAAGTTAGTAGAGTTAACAAAGAACAACAAACAAGGTAATTGAAAATTTGTACATGAGAAATGTGTAACTCTCATCTCCACTCTGACTGCAGCAGATAGTGTCCTTCACTGGGCTGTGTCTGCTTAATTTCCACTTTTTAACCTCAGATCTTTCTTCAGTCTACTTTTCCATTATGTGCCTTTTATTCTCTGTGTGTTACACCGTTTTTCCTCTCTTTCACTGCTTTTGCTAGCCTAACTTCTAGGGCTTTATGCATAAATCCTTGCAGTGTAATTAAAACCTTTTGTTACATTATTGCAAAATTTAAAAGGTGGCTATAAACATAAGTCCTTTTTTCCTTTTCAATTGTATTAGCAAATTAAAATAACCCAATGATCAAGAGCACAATTTTCTAACCTCTGCATCAAAGTAATGTTGGTTATGATGCTATAGCGAAGAGTCTGTCAGTGTCCTCTGTATATATTGCCATTTTCAAGTATCACACTTTTTTGCAAGAATTGGTGGCAATTTGGAATTTACCGAATTCCAGTAGAGGAAAGAACGTAAGTGAAGTTCTTGACATAATAGTTTTCTATGTGTTTAATAACCCAAGAAATTGCTGTCTTCCCTTGGCCACCAGCTTGCGATGCTGCCAGCCGCCTTTCAGTGCAGTTGCATGTCCCCCGGAGGGGAGGAGAGCGAGGCTCGTATCCTTGCTAAGCAGCTGTTGGCTTCCCCGCAGGTGATAAATTCTGGCGAGTGCAAAGGCCAGTGCAAGGTCTCGGCACCACTGAAGCCCTGAAAGCTTAAGCAGTATTTCAGCAATCCGTAGGATTTGTGCTGCCCCTCTGCACCGCAGTGAGCTTGACCTTGCAGAGATTAGCACCTACAGTAGATACTTAGATACTGCAGTGATGAATGCATTCAAAATGCCACGGACAGTTAGATATTGTAGACAGCCATACTGTGCTCTTTAGTGTCTGCTGGGAGTTTAACTTAAACATTTGGCATTTTCAGAGATAATCCATTTTATGTAATTCCACCACAGAGAGAACAGGGTAAGAAGTTAGGACCATTTTTTTACAATACTCCCGTAACTTTGTATTTTTAATCTGCATGAAATGTTGCAAGTAATTTAATTTAGCTCATGAACACTTCTGATACTTTTTGCAAATCGTGCTCTAATACAAGAGAAGTGTGCTTTGTCTTAGAGATAGATAAACAATTCTTTCTTTATTGATCACAATTTGCAGAAAAGGATTGTATCGTGTTTAAGCATAGTTGCATTAAATGAAAGTAGATTCCAAGTTTAGTGATACCTGAACATGATGTGAAGTCATCACTTTATTTAGCACACCATTGTTTAGTATATATACCCAACCACTGGACTAGTAACAGAACTAAAATTCGTGTTTAAGACAAATAGAAAATTATAAAGCATTATTGCGAAAGTACTTCTGCCATGGTAACTCCTTAGGATCAGGGTTTCTGCTCTTTGCCCTATAAATGCAATTCCCACGTCATATGAATAACCATACTTTACTCCATTCTTTGTTCAAAGATCTCAGCTTCTTATGCACACAAGCAGTATAACCTCAAAACATCCACATGAGGCTGAGGCAGGAGCTGCAGCAAAGCCAGGCGCAGAGAGTATTTTTATATGCATAGATCATTATGTTAGATGAGTCTCCAAAACATTAATGAACTTTCTGTTGTGGCACTCCTATGAAGTTGGAGTGCTTTTCATTTTCCATTTATGAGCAGGGAACTGAAAGACTGAGAGGCTGCCTGCCTGATGCTAAGGCTATTGAAAGTCAAGTGAATGATAAAGACCTTCATTGATGTAGTGGGCTTTGGAAGAGAATCCCAGTCCATTGCCCAATGTTACAAAGAAAGTCAGTAGAATAGTGGGGAATTACCCAAATATTCCAGGTTTATCTGGTTCAACCACGAGAACATTTTGATTCCGATTTCATTAGGCTTTTATCTCAATGCAATTCTGTTGGAGGCACTGGAGGCAGGAGCCCTTCTAGTGCTGTGGGCTAGGAGGTCGAGCTGAAGTTTGTATAACATGAAGAATGAGGAAAGAAGCAAATGATCATCTAAGCATCTCTTTCCTGTGCTCGCTCATGAAGCTGCAGAACATTTCTTTGGTTTTGTTTTGCTCTTCAGGATGAGTTTTGAGCCTTGGCATTTAGAAATTGAGTTTTTACTCCTAATTTTTTTGAATTCCTGTAGGATCTGTAACAAATGCATATTGCCTGTTTCTTATCTTGCTCATGTATATTTTACGCTGTTGTTTTCATTATCTGAAAATGTAGTGAAAAGGAAAGAATTTTCAAAAAGAGACAAACCAAAAGATGTGTTAAAGGCAGATCTTAGCACATCTGCCATGTAAGGCTATTAAGAGAGAAGAACAAAAACTTACAGCAAATAAATAAATAAGTAGAAAGATCCTCCCAAATCAACTATCTCATCTGTAATTCCAAAAGAAAGTAAATTAATTCTCTCTGTCTCATGCCATCTCCATCACCTTGAATGTGAAGTATGAACCTGTACTCGTATTGACTGGAGAGTTAGGAACTAGTATTTTAATGCCTCTAATTACTGTTAAATTCCAGATACCTTAAAATACTTGCCATACATTTAAAAACTGTAAAATTACACGATGATATTATTTTTAATATCAAGATTTAAGATTTCAGAGATTTAATATCTCTTACAGGGGATCAAGAAAAAGAAAATCAGAGGAAGTCTTTTCTGGGGAACCCAATGTCAATCTTGGATTTATACCAGCACAGTCTCTATGGCCATTTTGGAGAGGATGGCCCTGAACAGTTAGCACACTACAGTCTAATTGAGCAGCTGAGTGGAGCTTCCAGTAAAGACAGCAAGGGCAAAGAGAGCCCGCATGTGAGTTACTGCTGTTTTTATGACATTGCTTCTCCTTTACTTCATGATTATTTTTATTTACCTCTTTTTTTTAACTCAGTGTGTTGACTGATTACTGAGACCAGGAAGACCTGAAAAAAACAGTTATGACCTGCAGAAGAGTAAAGAACTAAATATTTTTGGAACAGAAAATCACATTCTGATACTCATCTGTCATGGAATAAGACTTCCAAAATTAACAAGTGAAGACAGGCTAGCGCTAGCACTCTTACCGTAACAGAGGAGTTGAAATTTAAGGCTAGCAAGAAAACACAGAATTTAACTGTGTGCCTGGTCTTTCACATACAGACAGCTAAGATGTATAGCGTAACATGTAGTAAGAGACTAAAGAACCTGAAGTGGTATTTCTGAAAATTCAAATGAAATTGTGCTGTGGAAGTCAGCTGTTTTCTGGGCTCTGCTGAAATATGCTGTTAGTTCTGGAGCTGCTGACTTAGGGATTTCAAACATAATTGTGGTCAAGATCAGTCCTGATCTCATCTGTGGATCTTGATGCTACACAGAAACAAATTTTTCTCCTCCTATTTCATGCGAATCCATGTGCTATTTCTGTCCTTTTAAAGGTTGAACCTGGCATCATGCAATCCCAGCACTGCCGAAAAGCAGCCCCTCAACTTGCTCTTTTCCTTTCCTCCTCTTTTCTCGTGCCTTCTCCTCTCATTCTCACTGTTCTTTCTCACTTTTTCTCTCCTTTCCTCTAACAAGCCTATTAGCTTGAGAATAGAGCCATCCAGCCACGATCCACGGTAATCATTTTGTCTGTATGTTAAATCTCTTTTTCTTCTTTTTGAATATAAGCTCTTTTACTTCACTGCATAGCACTGAGCACTTTTGGGGTCTGTTACAGCATAGACAAGGGTGGCAGCAGAAAATAATGAGTGAGCTGCTGTTTGTAGCACCCTGCTATAGTTCACAAGGGAAAAAGAATTTTTATCTCTTCCCAGACCCCGGTTTTCAACTTCTGAAAATCCCTATGCAGTGTAACTTCAGAGGTGACTAAACACTTCACCAGAGTTAGAGCCTTACAGCTTTCAGGAATCTGGGCCAAATGTGCAGAAGGAGTGTGTGCAGCAAGCTGGCAATGCCCCTGTTTATTCCAACTCCACTGGCATGAAAGCCCTGCTTAACTGCATATTAAAATGACTCACAAACTTCAAAAGAAAAAGCCCGAAATGCACCTGCCTCATTTCCCAATCAACCAGATTTTACTAGTACCCAGACTGTGTTTCAATTTGAATATGTTTGAGTTGTATTAGAAAGAACAAAATGGAAAGAATCTGGCCTCATAGTGGAGAAGAACAGGGGAAAAAAGGTAGCGGAACAGTATTAAAAAGGACAGACGAGAGAAAATAATCTGAGCATCCACTGAATTCCTCATCTTGTGCATTTAGAGATCCACAGCTAAATTAAGCTGACAAGATAAATGTTATGTGTATACACACACGCGCGCGCGCGCGCACACACAGAGCAATATATACATATACATACATACATACATATACATATATATATATCTAGTAGTTCTGCCTTCTCAAGGCCAAGGTCTTTTGCTATTAACAAAGCAATTCGATTTGATTCCACTATAGAGAAGAGGCTCAGACCTGCGTTTATTTTTAATGCATTCTTCTAGTGCATTTCTTATACACGACAGATCTTTGCAATGTGCCCAATCAGCACCAAAACTTACACAAAACCTATTAAAATAGCCTTAGGGTCTGTGTAAAAATCCATCATTAAACTAGAAGGTAACAGGTATAACTCAGCACTAGCATTTGTCATGCATTAGGTTGGGGGGCTTTGGAGATTACTTTTTGAGGATTTGAAATAGCCCTGAAAAGAGTATTGCCTCTCGGTGCACAGTGAAAGCTCGGTAGAGCACTAGAGATTTGCCTATTGGTATTCAACTTTTTCAGAATGACAAATGAGGAGCAGTGACCATGAAAAGCAGGTTGCCACGAACTCCTTGTTTGAACCAGCACAGCAAATTTTTCTCAGCGGTAATTTGTCCAACCCAAGAAGATCCACGGCCTGTTTAAATTAGAGCTGTGTGATCTGGAACATTACACACAAAAAAAGGAGGGACGACAGAAAATCAGGGCCAGCAGCTCTGAAGAAACAGACACATTTTGAAGGGGGCAAAAAAGCAGTTTTCATCCGTAACAGTCGGCATTTTGAAAAAGAAAATGCTACATGCTTAGAATTTAATTCCCAAATGGCGTGTGTGAAGCCTTTAAAAAAAAAAAAAAAGCAAGTGTCAGGATGGACAGAATGAGTTTACTCTGCTTGTCGAAGGAGCAGTGTGCTGTATCAGTGCTCTCGCCCAATTAAACTGGGCTGTCCGGCACCAGTGAGAGAGCGGTTTCAGACTGGGTGCTCTAATGAGACGTGGCAGGAAGCTCGGTTAACCCAGACTTGCCGTCATGTGAGTTGTCTCACTCTCCCTGAACACGTTCCCCAGTGCTACCCCCAAAGTAGGCACGCAACAGGTTTGATCGGCAAAAAAGTACTGCACCGAAGGAGCTTCGGAGGAGAAAACAATCAGTGGGCAATTACTGGTATAAAGGCGCACGGCATGGACAGGCTGGGGAATCAGAAAAGGCTTCTAGGCTTTGAAAGGTAAAATGTTTGTTGTTCCCAGTTTTTTATCTACCAAGTCTTGACCAGCGTCCTGGTTAAACTTTCTTGGCGCTAAGAACAAATTTGATGATACATTTATGTTGACCTGGGAAATATATTCTGAAATAATGCTATACTTCTGTAAACTGCAGTGTTTTGGACAAGAAAAACCAATCACAGTTTCAAAGAAAGGGATAAAGCGCATTGAATCATGGATACAAAATTGTCATTTACATTAACAGCCACGGTGTATTTTTCTCATAGAGGATTTCCAAAACTAGAAACACAATTCTTTTTATATGTATTAATTAATTCTGATTAAACAGTAACTTCTCTGTTTCAATAAAACATATGCAGCACCTGATCCAAAGCCCACCGCAGTTCCCCCATGGGCAAGCCACCTGTTCAGTGGGGTTTCGGTGAGGCCAGCGGTAAACAGCTGCTTCTCTTGCTTGTAGCAATAACTGGTAGTGCCCTGAGCGGTTTGGTGGACATCATGGTCGCTCCTGGATTTTCACAGTGAAAAATAATTTCACATTTTAATTAATTTGCTATTTAGACTTTAAAAGCCCGGTGATTTATTTTTTTCTTATAAGAAGTCAGAAAACAAGATAAATTTCCATCACCCGAGCACATTATTTATGTATATTTTATGATGAAATGAGAACTGATGCGAGAGTTTTTATTGTCTTCTTTTATTCTCACGGAGCAGCAAGTGAATCAGTCAAAGATTTTATTACTTAATCATCTTTATGATCCCAAAGCCTCCTGAAAAATGTATTTTCTTCTCTAACCTTATCCAACCAGCACTTTTTTTTTTTTTTTTTGGGGGGGGGGTAATACAGCCCTTCTTCCTTCCTTTTATCCCTATCTATTATTCCATTGGAATCATCATCCAGACTTTCTTATTTCAAGGCACGACTTGATGAACACTTTAAAGAAAAGGTCCTTCACGGAAGGGGCTGGTACCCACCACAAGTTTCTAAATCCTGTTGCTTTCCCTCAGTTACGATGATATACATGAGAAATCTGACCTTTCTCTCACGATTACCATGTCAGCTACATCAGCAATTTGACTATAGGGCTCAATTAACTGAAGAGGTTTACATGTGCAATGTGCACGTCTTATTCAACGCAGCAGAGTTTGTGTGTGTTGTACAGATGATTCGCAAAGGTGAGACCATGCTCAAAGCACCATGTCTTGCAATTCAAGTAGATTTTAGAGCCTGCTGGCAAATACAGGAAAGGGAAAAATTAGAGAAGTTGCTGCTGTTTTGGCTGCACTTACAAATGGGACTGATATGGCGAGATTCCCAGATAAACGCAGATTTTTTTACAGCCGAGCGAGCTGATTGGGAGTTAATGCTTTATGCACGTCTCATTGTGCTCACAAGCCTTCTAATGTATCATATTAACGCGGCGGAATATCCACAAAAGGGCTGCTGACAGGGATAAGAATGACTGGTCCTTGTGCAACGCTTGTCGTCCTGGAATATCGCAGAGCGTTAGACCACGATTAAACAGGGTGTGCCAGCGCTGCAGAATTGCAGCAGCGGTTAGCGCACAGGTGAGCGTGTAGCCTCGGCACCTCAGCAGGCTGCCCTAAGCACGAGTGGAGGGCAGACACAGAAGGGCATGAGCCTTGTCTCCTGCAGAGATCAGTAAATGGTGAGCTAGGGTATGGGTCAGCTGTATACTGGGCACTTCTCGCTGTTCACCGACTTAGGCAGCCCTTGGAGAACATGCTAGCAAAGTTTGGGTGCTTGACTTGGGTTCTCTGAATCTCCTTCTGAAGGTGCCTAGTTCTGCGTTAACTATTTGTGCTCTTAAACGGGGCTCTTAGAAGAGACTTGCCATCGTTAAATGTCTGAATTTGTTTCGGGGAGACCGTGTACACTGCGCTTTCATAGAGAACTGAGCTTTTCCACGTATCAGATATGCTTGGGGAGGGATTCTGCTCATCTCAGACGAAGAGGCCTAAGGTAATGATGTGGGTCCTATTATCAGTTGGGAATAAGCTGCATCCTAAGAATTGAAAGCAGGAAGAAGGAGGTGTTGACCTGTGGAACTGCTTGCTCCCCGGCCGTGGCCGCAGAGGAGCCTACACAGCCAGCGTAGGCTGAGTACGAAACTGTAACGCGAGGTTAGCAAGACAAACCTTGCTCCAGGCTTGCCTGTGTAGGGAGCTGGTGAACAGTAGCTAATGCAACGCTCCAGAGAGTGAAACCGCATTTCTGTATGCTTGCGGGTGAGAAGTGAACATTACCATGATTATACTACTGTATTAAGAGTCTAGTTAGCCCGTCCTGCAGCTGGGGCAGCACTGGGTGACGTCGGCTAGCCGC